CTGTGACAGTTTTGAACAAAATTACAGAATATTCGAACAGACGTACGTTTTGCGAAAATAAATATTATTACATTAAATTTTTTAATATTCGTAAACGTGTAGAAAAAAACATATAAAAATTTTTAAATACGAAGAGAAGAGAAAAGTACGAATAGCGCCGAACATATGTTAAATATTTCAACAATATATTTCAAACAAATTATGTTTACATTATATTATCTGTGCAAATGTTCCGTCTTTATTTGAATCTTTAATAAATAATGTATCAATATTCTTAAGTATTATGTGTCATTTTATGTGTATACTGTGTCATTTTTTTTTATTCTGTTAATGTTATGCTCATATAAAAATTCCTCAATCATGATTAATGTTGTTTTAAAGTATTATTAGCATATACTAAATTGTATTATTTCATCATTTTAAGCTTGTTTAAAAATTTTTTGATTACGAATTTAATGTTATCTCTAAAATAATTCTATAATGTGGCATTTTATTTTGTTAATGTTATTCTTATTTAATATAACATAAATAATATAGATAATAAATATAGATAATAATAAATATATAGATAATAAATGTTAAATTTTATTTCACTTTTACAAATTTTTCTCATATTATTTTTGATTATATAATTTAGTCAAAATCTTCCGCAAAGATATGTGGAAATTTTGTGGCATTTCTACATATCTTTGCTTTATTATATTATTAATTTTTGCTAGAGAATCTTTCATAATTTATTGACTTTTCATAGACTATGATCAGATTAGATTATTCTCAGATATCTTAGAAGCTTATATCATCTATAAAAGTATCCATCAATAGCAGTGTAGTCATTGTCATAATGAGAGACACAACACTCTGTGGTCAAGCTAAAGAAATTTATCAAACTTGGTGCTGTTTGGTTTTGTGTGTCAAATTTATTAGTGCATGAATATTAAATCCATTATATTTATATATAAATTGATACATAAAAAATTTATTTCAAAAAATATTAATGAATTATATAACATTTACTTATAAATTGTATAATATTTAATAAATATTATTTGCAATTATGTAAATAATATGTAATAATATAAATATTTAAAATTAATAGTACAAATAAATAGTACAAGTGTTGTTTTTATAAAGATTAAAAATGTATTGTGCAAATTTTTAACTAAAAGTTTTTTTTCTCAGCAAAAATAATATTGTGAAATTAGTAAATAATACATAAATGTAATGTAAAGTTTTCATAAATTTATTGCAAATAAATCAAAAATAATTTTGATACCACAACTGAAATTACTGATGACGCGTTAGAAACGTGGAACGTTGAAACTGTCAAGTAACGATTGCAATATCAATCGATGTAGATAAGATCCATTGATCTGACAGTGTTAAAAAACGCAAGTCACGATTATTAAATCAGTAATGATATGAAATGAGTAATAGAATGTAAGAAGTGACATAAATTTATATCAATTAAGTGTGTTACTGCTGCCATGGCTACATAAATGTAAAAAATGTGATAGTAGAGATTCTAATACTTGTTTCACATGTGTATTTCTAGTGTTTTACGTGACGTTTTTCTAATAATTTAAATTGATAATAGATATTAAAATCTACAAAAATTTACTATATAATTTTGTTTTCACAATTTGCAAAATGTTAGCAAAAGTGCCGCCGGATGGGGGTTGGGGATGGATCATTGTTCTATCTGGTGCATTAAATGGCGTAAGTTAGTGTGTATATTAAAAATGTAATACAAATATGTGATCAAAATAAGAGTACAATTTTTATTTTATAATCAAGCTTTTAAAATTGTTCCTCCTAGAAAAACTGAAATTAATCCAAATAATAATTTTGTAGTTATCAACTATTCCAATTATACAAAGTTTTGGATTGATATTTAATAAAGATTATTTGGCCGAACTTAATATAACTGAGGCAAACAGGACCGTTTTAATCAATATAAATTTAGCGTTTGGTATGATACTCGGCTTGATCAATGGTCCTCTTTTAAAATCCTTTGGCTATAGAAAAGTGGCGACAGTTGGAACCCTAATATTTTCACTTGGGATAATTCTGACAGCATTCGCCAAGAGTTTTACTCATTTCGTTATTAGTTACGGACTGCTAACCTGTAAGTAAAATAGAATTATTCGACTAGCATTATTAATAACATTTTATGTAACAGTATTAATCGCAGTATTATAATGATTTTTATATGTTTTTAAAGCAAGCAATTACAATACATTCAATAATTTCAATAATTAAAATTATAAAGAAACTTACAATTATGTCGAAAAGAAATTAGATATAAGTAAGCAATTTTATTAAAATTTTATATGTTAAATTGAATCGAAAGTTTGTTTGAATTCTGTCTACATTCTATTTTTGGATTCTATTATTATTGAAAATGAGTTGCATGACCAACTTAATATCATTTTAATAGATAACGCTATCTAAAGCATTTAAGAGAATCCTGGAGTCGCTACTATTTTTTTTCTTTTTATGTTCGATTATTTGGCCGAACTTAATATAACTGAAGCAAACAGGACTGTTTTAATCAATATAAATGCGTGTGCGCGAATATATATATATATATACATACATGGATATTATCAATCTCATTTTTAATTTCATCTAAATAATGGCTGTTTTACGTTAGAGTTTGGCAGACACTCCTAAATTTCCTTAAAATAAAATCTAGTGAAGATCAGCTAAATAGCATTAATAAAATTTAAATAATATATTTTTCTATATCAAATTCATTATTAAATTTTGTTTATACTCATTGCACAGCTGTTGGCTTGAGCATGGCGATGGCTGGATTTTCTCTGGCAATCAATTCTTATTTCTCTATAAGACGAGAACGTGCCGTGGGCTTATCAATAACTGTCACAGGACTAGGCCCAATTTTTGTGCCTCAATTAATTACCATTTTACTTAAAGTCTACGATATTCAGGTATTCTAAAAATTATATTTTAGTAAAAAAATATAACAGATCCAAAAAATACTTTAATAGCTTCTCAATATTACTGACATATGTCAAGTGAAAACATCTAACAGCATACGGAGTCAATACCGCCAGACAGAAAGTATAAAATCTGTATTTATATTTACGCTTTGATAAGGCATCGATCCGATGTAGCTCTGCTCTTGCGGTGAATTATGCCGATCATAAAGTACAACGGCAATTGCTTATCAATTTAGGTCGCATGTCTGTTTATTTCCTGTTGTTAATTGTACAATCTGTATGATTAATATTAAAGTGACGCGATTTTCTATGCTCTATCGATCTACGTCGAATTTTACTTGTCAAGTGTAATTTAATGAAACATTTAATTTTTAAATGATTATCAAGAGTTATAATTATATTTTAAATTGTTTGTACAGATGATGGTTTAAAACCATATTGTACATATAATTTAAGAAATATAATATTTAAACAGGGGACAGTTCTGTTATTGGGCGCTTACAGTCTTCATTCAGTGATTGCTGTTATGCTTCTGCAGCCAATTAAATGGCATATGAAAAGCGCGCCTCTCTGCTTAGAAACAATCAGTGAAAATCCCAACATTGCAATTAATAGCGAAGGAGGTATTAATCTGTTAATTAAACATATGTATGTAATATTCAAAATTATCTTTTGTCAATATAATTATGTAATTATGTAATTAATTAGATTATAACTCGGAAGACGATACTGATATACACAATTCAAAACTAGTAGTAAACAATTATCAAAGAAAGAGAAAATTAACATTATCGAGCATTGATTATAATGTCGACGCTGGAAGCATTTGCGGGTTCGACACTTTACCTCGACAGATGTCAATTGACAAAACAAGTATAATCGATATAATATAATTGCAACTTGTTAATTAACAGTAATTAATTAAGAATTTTATTTTAAAAATATACACAACTTAAGATATACAAATTTAATATTTCAGTATCGTACCAATCAACATATACCGAGATGTCAGCAAAAAACACATCAATGACAAATTTGCACAATAATCGCAAATATTCGAAATATTCATGGCGGAATGCAGGTAATAATACCAAAAAGATATTGATTAAAACGCGCTGATGTATATTCTTTCTTTTTTTTTAAGCAAAAAGTACGGAAAGTGTCAATCTCGGTAGCAGTATGAAAATTTTTGACGAATCTGTGCCAATAGCGAGGAAACTGGATCTTATCGAAAATGGTGTAAGTAAAAGTAATGATGTAAATCAAAGCATCATTGAAGTGAATTCAGCGTTGAAAGAAGTAGAAAAAGAGACAGATGACAGTTCCGTAGGAGAAAATTCTGATAAGAACGAGTGAGTATAAAAAAATCTGCAATACATTAATAAATGATAAAAATAAAACAAAGTAATACATATTGCATATTACTTTTATTTCATCAACATCGATTGTATTGCAGTGAGAAAAACAAATCGATCATCCGGCAAATTTTGCGACGAGTGATCGACCTATTCGATTTTGAAATCTTGCGCGATCCGATCTACTTGAACATCATGCTTGGGATGTCGATAGCGATTTTCGCGGAGGTGAACTTCTCGATGTTAACGCCAAGCTTTCTCGACGAAATGAAAATGGAGAAGAGAGAGATTGCTAACACCATGAGCATCATCGCGATGGTTGATCTCATTAGCAGAGGCGCGGCTCCTTACCTGGCGGAGTGGCTACGTCAGCCACCCCGAGTGATGTACATGCTTAGTCTCGTTCTTCTGCTGATTAGCAGATTGAGTAACGTATCGAATTTCTCTTCGAATTTCTATCGAATTCTAATTAAAAAAAAAATAATAATAATATAATAACAAAGAGTAAAAAAGTTAGCGACTAATTTATTGTTTTTATTTTCGACGCAGTGCTACTCTTTGTAAATAGCTTCGTCACTTTGATGGCCGTCGCAATCGGTCTGGGACTAGCTAAAGGAATCCGATCGGTGTACATGCTCTTAATAGTACCAACCTACGTTCCTCTCCAGAAGTTACCCAATGCTTCGAGCATCCAGATGGTGTCCAACGGCATATTTCTTATGTGCGGTGGTCCTATACTTGGTATGCAAAAATAATATTTAGTTGCTTCTTATATCCATTAAGTATTAACATTTTGTACATAACTTATTTAAAATATCAAATATTGAAAGATAGATATTGGAATAAATAATAAGTATGTTGTAGGTGCAATACGAGAGAAATGTGGAAATTATACAGTTGTGATTATTCTGATTAATATTATGACTGCTATTACGGTAATTATATGGACGGTAGAAATGATAGTTACAAAGAGGTCTGCACGCCAAAGATTGAATTCGCCCGAAAAATCTTAATATAACAAAATTAAATAATTATATTTTTGTAAATAAGAACTAAAATTAAGAGTTGCAGTTTTTCAAAATAAACGTTTTGTGTGGGAACTTATATGTATATAATTAAGAGTTTGTATACTCAGTTTTAGTTATTAATAAAATTATTTAAAAATTATTTTTAACAAAAGATTTTAAACGAGAAGACCTTGGTTCTTAAAAAATCATTCGAACTATCACCGTTTATTTTGAAAATTGACTTGATGAATTGACAGATGCAATTAAAAATCTTAGCTATGCTATGAATCAATTTTTTTTCTAACGGTACGCATTGTAAATGTTTAATCTTGTAAGAATACGATTAGCAAATATTGTAGCTTATCTAAATATATTTTAAACGTAAAACAAAGATCCAGCACTTTCTAATTTCACACAGCATGAAAATTTTACATGCTTCCTGAATGGTATATTAGACTTTTCCATCATCACACAATTGCAATTAAGGTCGTGTCCTTGTTCGATACCATTTAACATAAAAATGAATCTAATTACGGCGCTAGTCTTCGCGACGACTAGAATCTTTAAGACAAACAACCGCGGTACACCGCATAGACAATAGAACATCTTTTCCCATCATTTCTTCCGGCGAGGGTTCTCACGTCTCTCACTGCGACAACGTGTGATCTTCCTGAAGAGACCTAAAAAGGAAGTTCGAAGGTCAATGAAATGTGGATAATGTTGTATCAAGCCAATCTATGCAGCGCTATTAAGTTTATCTTTCTCGCACCAAGTTTTTGCTCATTAAATGTAATATCTTCTTTATGATCTTAAAGAGATATGATCTATGCACAATATCACTTAATTTTTTCTCAACTTAAACGACTTGAAGTATATTTAAGTAATTTTTTTAAAAATTCTTTATTAAAAAAAATCTGAATGTAAAAAGAAAACAACTTGTAATTTTTTATACGATTTTAGACGATCAGTTGCAAAATTCGCGACACACAGTTCTTTTCACCGTACGGCGTACAATTGGAAAAGATTGACTTATGAGATATTCATAAATGCATATCACGTACGTACGTATATTTAGATGCAACATGCCCAAATGGTCGTGACACTTCTTTGGCGGCCGTCCAGCTTTACGAAATCGGCGAAAGTGACGATCGAACGTGATTGGCAAGTGCATAAAAAACGAATTCAACGTAAACGAGACTGGATTGTAAAATAGAGCATCAATTTTAGAAATCGCAACTGCTGTTTTCTAAAATTAACGTAAGAAAAGAGTGATTTTTCACGAGTAATGTATCATGCTTTGTGAGTATACATATTGTTAATTATTAAAAATATTGTTATATTATTAAAAAATATCGTGCTTTTGTATCATATAATGAATAAGAAAATAAAAATATAGATATTTTAATTTTGATATAATTTTTAAAAAGAGTTATAATTATATTTTAATAAATTTTTTAATTTATTACAAAAATTAAGGTATTTTAATTTTTGCGAGCAAATATATGAAATAAATCAATATACATTATTCATTATTTATTTTTACTATCTGTTTTCTATTATTCATTATTCATCATTGTCGTATTTTATTATTTCAGACTCATTATTATGGAATTAAGCAGAGTATAATTGGAAACAAAGAACTCTTCTTCATATTAGAAAGTGTTTAATATGCACGACAAATTTTGAAATAATTGACTCCAAACTTATTTTTATTCGGCTTGCAGGATTGACGTTGGCAATTAAGGAAACGAAAGCGTGTTTGCTTAAAATCCAATTCGTGTTATACACATTTACTTGATTCATCACACGCACGTGTACACGCGTGATATCGATCATCAATTTCCTTTCTATTGAAATATATTTCTTAATCATTTTTAAAGTATAATAAAAAATTCTACTTAAATTATTTTTAAAGGCACATTTTAAAATAATCAAAAAACAACTTTCTAAAAATGAGAATTTAATTTTTAAAAAACGTATAATATTTCCTATATTTTTAAATTCATCTCAATACAAGCACAAATGCGACTCGACTGCAAAATAATCGCACAGTTTGCTTGAATTATCAAGATGAATTTTTGACATTACATTACTTAACTTATTTACAAATACAAAAACTGACCTGTACTTGAAGTATTCACTTGCGGCTATTTTAACAGTCGATATAATTTTGCAAGTTATGATGACAGCATAATGCAAACATATATGCCGCATTCTTTACATATCTTTAGTCTTTTCTTATTTCCAAACTTATTGAGTAACTTTTTGAGTTACATATAACAGAGCTTGTAAAAATAATACACATGTCCGGAGTATAAAATACATTTATCCGGTGCACTGGCCACAATAATCACTTACGCACATACGTGAAATCGAAACGGCTCACCCGTTTGCGTAATATAACATAAACATGAATCAAAAAATTCATCGGAAGTACTCCATTTTTAATTAATTGTTCACAGTCGCGCATCGTTCACGGATTCACACTATAAAATTGCTCCATATGCACAAACAATAGTCTTGAGCATTTTTCACACTTGATGCGTCATCGCCTGGCACGTGACACCTACAAAAAGTATTAAGTATTATTGCAAAATTTTTATGTACAACGTTCCAACCATAAAAATATGAAAAAAATATTTTTTCCGAATATACTTTATACATCAAACAACACGCACAACTAGAAATTCTGACATTAAATTAGATGCCAAAATTAAGTTGTTTGTTAAGTGCTATTTATTATCAAAAAAATTTAATTTGCAACAGTATTCTTTTAAAAAAATACACTAGCGGTATAAACAGTGAGTGATATATCGTACTTTCGAGTGTGTAGCATGCAATACAGGAAGTTCAGAAGATTCATTGTCCTCGTTAGCGTGTTCGTCACCGTCATTTGTCGCATACTCATGCTCCATGATGCCCCATAAAGGAACGCTCTCCGGGCCCGTGGAAGCCACAGCTAAGTTGTTCACAGCCTGAGGCAGCACTTGATAGGCTTTCTCGATCGATTCAAACATAGTGGACTTCTCTGTGGACTTCTTCGTGTCTTTCGAAGCTTTCAATTCTTTCGAGTTCCTTTCCGCTTCTTTCGCCGCTTTCTCTTTTTTTTGCACAGCGGGATTCGATTTAGGAGTGGTTACGATAGGCTGCGGCGTCACCACATACACGCGTTCCTTGTTCACCGGAGAAATATCGATAGAGAAGCTGCGCCATATGAAATCAGCGCTCGTTGATGTAGCGGGCACTTCGGTGGAACTTTTGGCCGGCTTTGAAATATCGGGTTGTATCACCTTGAACCAAAGAGATTAAAGAAAGATTAATTAAAGATTCTTAACATTAAAAGTTCTTCAAAGCTTTAATTAATTACTTGTATGTGCGATTTGTCGTGGTTACTAGCCGAATCCTTGTAATTAAGATCGTTGAAAGTAAATCCGGCCAGAGTAAAAATATTATTATTATTGTTATCAGTCGCGTGATTAATAGGCTCGGTGGTCGTCAAATATTTTTCAGGAATCTGCTTTGAAGGGTAAAGATATGGATTGGCTGAACTAGGCGATGCTGTACTAACGGTTGTACCTTTCGAATATTCCTGAATTAAATTAGTAAGAAACAAAATTTTTATTATAATGTTTGCTTGTTATAAAAAAATATTATTCATTAACAAAATCGCATTTATTAAGAAATTATAACGTACCTGTATTGTCCAGTTATCGATATTCTTTTGTAATTTATGTAGCTTTATGAAATTGGTCGATTTAACATCGTTTGGTTTTTTGGTAACATCTTCCAAAGCAGTCGGCCAAGATTGGATGGTGTACGACGAGTCCGGAGGGCTAGTCACTTTAATACTATTCCTTGATTCCTCGCCGACATAACTATCGTGATCGGCTTCGCCCGTGTAAGGAACCTTTCCCGATTGGAACGGTTGTGGTGTGTACTGTGATGTATAAGGAATGATGACTTGCACCTAAATTTTTCAGTTGCAAAAGTAAATTATAACATAACTATAAATGCGGTTTTTAAAAGCGTGTTTTTTTATTCAAGAAATAATTGCGTCACCTTTTTATTTCTCTTCGCACCTTCCTGACTAAGCGTCGTGTCCTTCGAATTAACATTTTCATTCAATATTTCCTCCGCTACATCGTCGTAGGATTTTGCCGTAGGATTCCAAAACGGATCTCTCTCCGTAACGTGTGGTATTGTTGAATGTAGAGTATTGGACCATAAAAATCCCGCCTGGCCTGACGGCGGAATGTACGAAACGTCCTGGCCCCGAAGATTCGTAGAATCACTTCCGGAATTCACATTGTTGTTGATCTTCGATTTTGCCGAGGGCATAATGGTCTGCACGTGATTCGCGGAAAAGTAAGATTCCGTCGACGTGCTACCTTGACGCGTTCCGAAATTGCCAGGTGCCAAGGTCGTCGCGGCGATCTTCGTACTCTCGAAATGCGCGACCACGTTGGAGGCCGGCGGTATCGAGGACGAGTCCGTCCGACTTTCACCCTTGCGCGTGAAATCTAGCAACGGTGACTGCTCAAAATGATGTATTGACTTTTCAATCTTCGCGGAAGATCCATCCGAAGCGGTCGACGATGCGTGAGAATCCTTAGCGACGGTGGGCAAATTGTTGTATCGATGCTCGTAATTGTTCGGTATTTGCCCGAAACCGGAAATGCCGTAACTGCTGGGAAGATTCTGATTGATCTGACTCGAGTTATCGAGAAAGTCGCCCAGTGGTGCATTCGGCCCGGTGACGTCATAAAACACTCCGTTATTAGGCGCCGCCGAAGGTTGTTGATTCAAAATATCAGCACTACCGAAAGATGTTTGTTGATTTATGAAGTCGGGTGAGCTCTGATGAGTCGCCGTATTTTCGTATCCCTGCTTGTTCGGTAAAGGATCGACATGACCGTGGGACACCTGAGTACCGCTAGAGGACAGATCATTGTGCGCGGCAAAATTATTGAATCCTCCATTGCTTGTGCCAGCATTGTTATATTCTAATTCTTGATAGACACCTCCCGAAGGACTTGAAGGAACTGGGTAGACAGATTGTCCGTTATTTCCCGTGAGTCCATTATTCGCACCATCATCGGTGGAACCGGATGGCGACGCTACGGGATAATTAAAATCTCCCGCGTTAAAGAGCGGCGGTAGCGCGCCGGTATAAAGATGCGGATTCGATGACGGACCAACGAACGGTCCGTCCTGACCAGGGAACGACGGAGACGCGGAGGAAAAACCCGGCGCTCTGACATTATGCGAAGCGGCGTAATGAGCATCGTAAGTCGTTTCGACATTTCTCGATGGCGGATAATCGCCGTTTAACGATGGCAATTCAGGCAACAGTGGCGGCGACGGTGCACTTACATCCCCTCCCGAATGGGAACCGCCGTTTACCGGCGTCCAAGGCACTTTGTTGCAAGAATTGCAGCTTTTACCCGTGGAGGGAGGATATCCTGAATTATCGTTGACGGAGGAGATCGGTGAAAGAGGAGGCGGTTTCTCGTAAGCTGTAGGCGAGGGACCGCCGTAAACCGTCGAGGGTGGCCCAAAAGGTGAAGAAGGCGGTTGAAAAAACATCGATGATGGAGGAATTCTTTGCTGCGGGGGTGGTGGTACCACTTCCGTTAGCTGCGGTTCTGACGGAGAACTGAAGGGATTCAACCAACTCATGAACCACGTGAAGTATCCTGGCGCCTCGGTGGGTTGAGGGGCATATCTACCGATCCTGATCTTTGAAGGAAGTGGCGGTGGAACGAGATACTCGTTCAAGCCGATTCTGCGAATGCGCCGAATATTGTTGGGCTCGTTCCTAATGGCAGAAGCCGCGCTGATGACGCAGATTACCAGCAGTAAGAACGGCAAGGCCTGAAACACAAACACGAGATCATCGCTTTAGAGTTATTTACACTATTTACAACAAATTAACAAAATAATAACTATTACGATAATTTATAATATATTGAAAAATAATTATTAATTGCTGTTGCAAATTTTGTTAGTTATTATAGGCAGCAAAAATATTAATTAAGAATATTAATTTTAACTGCTAAAAATAGTTTCACCAAATCTGCGCATTGTTTTACCGAGAAAGACAAAATAAAAGTGAAATCTTCTCTTATTCAACAAAATTATTCTCTACATGCAGTAACCTAAATTATGACAATTACTTCTAAACAAAAGAATTAGACAAATGTCCCGTTGTTAAATATAATGACAACTGTCTCTTCGTCAATATTCAAGATATTATTTGACTGATGAAAGTTCGTACGTATTATATTATTATGCACACTTTCCGCACCGCAGTCAATGATATGACTATGAGGAGAATAAACGTGCGGCGGAGCAAACTGGGTCACTCCATGAGAATCATTCCACGTTGCCGAGGATTATGTATGCCGTGCGCGAAACTAGACGCCTTCTCTCCCTTGTTATTCCAGAATGGAGTCCTCGTTGAACTCGGTTTTCCTCTCCTTAGTCCTGAATTCAGCTGATTACCCCGCTTTTCGCTTACCACGCGTAATTTACGCACGTGCAAGGAACAGACAATATATTGCGGCGTCGTAAAAATTCTCTATGCCGCTGCGGAACGACTAACAATTGGTTGCAACCGCGCGCGGTGCAGTCGACTGCTACAAATCATACGCTCCTCATGTCTGTAATATTTAGTTTTCACATTTGCTTAAACGTCATTAAACTAAACGTCACTAGATTTCGCTCGGCACTTTTTACTATCTCTAATTTCAAAATTGACTTTTCAAGCGAGCAAAAAGCATTTGTAAGTGTCAGCTTCCGAGACTCTTCGACCTACTTAACTGACATGGAACCCTGCAATCATTGGTCTCTGTGGAAGAATTTCTAAGTCAGCCAGTCATTACCGAGCAAGAAGCAAGAGGTCGTAAGGCAAATACGAATGCAATGTCAATGTAAGGTCGAGAATGTGCGGATTCAATTTCATAAAATTGCCTCGTACGAGTTTCTTCTATCTATCATTCATTTGCTCGGTCATACATTGTACATCTGCCTAATAATTCTAATAAAGAATTATCTAATAGCTTCGTGACAAGAACTTGTAGTACGCGTTTTGTTCATTCTTCATCAATCGTAAAATTGACTTAGCTTCTCGTAATTTGTCATATTTGTTTCATATATTTAATGTATTTGTTTAGATTATTATGATTTTCTCTTTCTCTCTCAATACAATATTTATTCAAATAATATGTGTTTACGCGACTTACGTTTATCACGTGAAATTATTTTAATTTTAATGCTTGCAGTTAATACGGTTATTATCTCGATTGAGTAAAATCTCGTACAATGTTTCACGAATCTGGTTTCCATTCTGAAAATACAAGGTATTGAATTTTTACTATTGAATTCGATGAGAAGTATTCTCTCGGAAGCAGAAAACTGGCGCAAGGAAGCTCGTGGAAGTCCGCGAAGAAAACGAATAAAATGCCGAAGAAAGGCCCGGGAATTCGTCGCGATTCGCAGCACCCGCGCTGAGATTCTCTCACGTGAATTGAATGCGGGAGCTCCACGTGCTAGTTCCTCGCGTACGAGTCCGTGCACGCGCATCGCCTCTCGCGTGAGAGAGAACGAGAGTAGTCGCAGTGATGACCGTGTTTGTCCCGCGAACCGGAAACCGCGTAGGAAAGTGAAGAAACGAAAAAAAAGAAGGCATACGCGAGAGCAGCGCATACATCAAACACTAATAACGCGTTACGGCAATGCGAACGGGTGTTATGCAAATTGCTTCCTACATGGCGCATCGTTGCACTCTGTGCGCGATATGTGATAATTCGCAACATATCGTGTACGCAGTTTCATTCATGGTGTACACATATGTTCGAATGTAAAGCGATCGACACTGTAATATACAAATCGAAATTATTACGCTTATCCCATAAGTACATCCACAATTAGATTGTTTTGCAAAATTTGACATTCATCTAGATGGATTAGATTTCATTCGAACACGATGATTCCATAAACCTATTTGCTCGTGCATATGTTCTTTCGATACGATATTACGTCTTCATCAACGGAGCAATGTAGCACGACGCTATTTCCTAAGATAGACGCTAATGAGAAGTCAGTAGGCTACGAATACCCAGCAGGTATTAATCATGGATCGAGAATAATAGTGACTTCGCACACTAAGTCAAGGATAAAATCAAGGATACAAGAACAGGTCGAAATCTACCAGGAAGTGGATAGGTCCGATTTCTCGAGATCACCGAGAACATCTGGAGGAGAGTATCGATTTGGCACACAGATACCCCACAATCGGCCGTTTACAACTGACGGTCGTAGCGAGCCTACCGGTATATCAACTCTCTTCTTCGGCCACATTTATACCGTCACGTTCGGTCGGAAGATTACGTTTGTATCAGGTTGCCACGATATATCGGTCTCGACCGCGAGGTCTCGAGGTGCAAGATGAGAAAATGCACACGAATGCACTTACAGCAGCGTGAATGCGATGTGGAAAATCGACGATATACATAAACATAAACACAAAACAACAAAATTTTGTAACAAAAACAGATATTGATAAAATTGGCACACGAATATATAAATAACTGTAATGCGTAATACGGAGTATATTTATTATCTTAGATTTGTAAATTTAGGAACAACGTATAATTGATAATAATTATTATATTAATATTTACATTAATAATCGTAGTGATAAATTACAAGCAACGCGCTACTAACAAGGATCGCGAGTTCTAATAAACTTGTTTGTCTGAAAGTGGCGGAGAGCTAACCGCGCGTAGAAGTTATTCGCGCGCTTCGTCATTAAGAGTACGTCTCACGCTGCCGCAGAAATTCATTATTGAAACGTCCGATTATTAAAACTGATTACGCCACTGCGCTCGTACGAACTGGTCGTATCCGAACAGTGGATACAGCGCCCGCGCGCACATAAAACGAGTAATGTAGGTAAGTGGGCTGTGGGTATATTACGAGAGTCTCGGAGACCCGCAGTGAAAGAAGACGATGTAACGCGCACGCGGGGGCCGTGCGCGTATAATTCAACGGTGAGCGCGTGTGCGAGCACTCTCATACGTACGAATGTACATGCCGGAAAATGAATGTCAGCGCTAATCGAGACGAACCGCTGCCGATAACGAGGCTGCGCTCTCATTGCTTAGGATTAAACGCCATCCGAAATAAAACGATTATTGCACACATATGAGAAATTTTGCGAGATATCTCCGTGAAATCGAGATCGATCGTCGACAAAAATCGCGAGGCTCAAAGACGAGACTTTCGATGTTGTTCAGCGAAGGCCGCGCCAAGCTTTCTTTTAATAACAATTAAAATTTTTAATGAAATTATTTCATTGTAAAATACACGCGATAATTCACTTGGAACGTTTGCAAGAATGTGTCCGTTGCATTTGTAAAGTTTTGAAAGTGTATCTGCAATGCAAAACTGAAAAGATAATGATATCGTGCTGTCACTTTCCATGGCGTACTCTTGAGATCTCTTGAAACCTCGGCGGTCCCGTGGGAATGCTCGGGTGAAAATCAAAAGATCTCGACGATCTTCTAGAGAAGACGTGCCCTAACGGTGCTTCAACGGCGCGGAAGACAATTACAGGAGTGTCGAGACAGAGAGAGTTTAACTGTCGTATTTACATCGCGAGTTGCTCCAATTCGACGTGCGTCAGAAGAATACGACTTCATAAAGTATGAAGCATTCGGCTGCGTAAGGCATTCGTCGTAACCTCGCGCACTTTCCTTAAGGAATCGCGATGATTGACAAGTTTTATTGCAACTAATTGAGATAATTTCAAGGCTGAAGGAATTATTTCTGGTAAATTATTGTCTTGTTTGGAATGACAAAATTAGAGATATTAGTCTGTTGGCAGACTTTCTCGCTTTCAAAAATGCAATTCGAATAGATAAAATAGATAAAATCGGAGAGATAAAACTAAATTGAATAAATATAGGAGAGTCATATCAGCGGAAAGCATCACAGAAAATTTCTCGTAATGCTAGGAAGTGAGAAACACTGTGTCATTATTGACAACTCGATATTGCGGAAGTATGTGCCGAACGAAAAGAGACCTTTCCACCTTTATTTTGTCAACACAAATGAGTGTGTTAACCAGCTTTTTTATTTGCGAACTTGTTCAAACTAATAATGCTATGAATTAACAATGCATGGATGCAATATAAACACGCGAGCACTCGATGCTTAATATTGATAGATTACGAGTTTGCATATTTGTCTAAGTTGAATTCTACTAAAATTTTTAACAAAATACAGAGGTAGAAAATAGTTTCATATCATATCCGTAAAAATCCATATTGACACCTCGATAAAACTAATCTGCTATAGCGTGAAAGTGACACTAAAAATTCTTTTTGTTTTTTCAAGATAAAAAAACAATTTCTCAGTTCTCCACATTCTGTTTGTTATCAACATTATGCACGCTTGCAGATAACACATAGTTCGAAAATGACATATAAGCATTGTAATGGACAGTGTCAGAAATTATTGAAAAATATTTCAAATTTTGATTTTCTTATAGCGACGCAATAGTCAAACAGAATGTGCTTAGCAAGGCTTCCCCAGACAGAAAACGTATATTAAAGTCGACCTTTTTTTTTTGACAAAAATGTTCATTATTAATATTTCGCTCACAATTTTGGAAATCGCGACTAGATGAAACGTGCAAGCGGAAAGCGACAGATTTAGGTCGTCCGAAAGAGTTTCCCTCTTCGACTGGCGCTGTGCCGAACGGTCTGCGATCGTTCATCTCGAAAGCGGCATATGTCTTCGTCGCTCGTTCGTCGCTCTGACGCGCGCTATCGACGATTCACACCGTACATAAATCAGCCGTGACTCTCGGAAACACAACGCGAACCGCGCATTAACATACTGTTCTGACAACGCTCTCTTAGCTAATTAAAGAACGTGACTCTGAAATGATTTCCCCGCGTAACACGATTTGCACGAAACTGAATTAATTTGTCCAAAGAAATCATGATTTTAGAACTGGAATTGTGAAGATGAAAATTATACAATGCTTTATATTATAACTACGGCGATAGGTCGATTTCTTTGAATCAAATATATTTTGAAGCTGGTAGAACAATGTTTATCCCATGAATATACAAAATTTCATCTGTATGCAACATAGATTGAACTTGAAAGTCTTCATCTTTTCTATGTCATCAAGGCTCTCACGATTCTGAATATATCGTAATCGTGCAATTTGCACGATTCGCCTCGTTATCAACATTGGAAGTAGAATTATGGCACATTGATGATCTGTTATTAAATTCACTAAGCTGATTTAGGAGAGAGCACCAATTTGCATTTTTAGTCGAAAACTATATCTACAGTGAAACAGCTTGATAGCCCAACTTTTTACTTTTTGATATTCTATATTAATAATATTAGTCCTATAAAATTTAATTTTCATAAAAATTATAAAACTATTGTAAAATAATATGTAAATTGTAAAACTTTTACGATTATTTTTATAAAATTAATTTATTATTAACTGATGACTAATTGTATATGCAAGTAACAACTGCTACCTTTGCTACTGAACAATGTAATAATAATTTAGTAATAATTTATTATTGCTACTACATTAATTATTCAAATTTTGTACAAAGAAACCCCGAAACCCTTTGACTGATTCGATAACAGTAATAACCAAATAATTACTTACAGATTCACGAGACTATCCTGATAATAAATGATTGTTATTACAAGTACTCACTCGTCGAACATCCATCTCTCCCACAATCAGGATCTTCTCGTCAAGAACATATTACAAATTACACGCAAAACCAAGATCACACTCTTTGTTCTGAATCCTAATCTCGAATCCTGAATCGTATTCCCGCTGACTGTTAGCCTTGTGTCATTGTCACAGAGCGTAACGCAACCGACGGACGCGGTGACTTGGTTCACTTCCTCGTCGCAAGAAGGTGAAGGTTGAAGTGGAAGGACGCAGGGTCGAAGCGGCGGGATCATACGTGGGAAGGGAGATGAAAGAAAAAAAAATGGGAAGAAAAGATGCGCACTTGAGCTGGGTCAGAGAGAGAGTCCATTGGAGCGTCTTCGGCCGAAGTCACTTATATACATCTGCTCTTTTCTCCTTCCTTCCTGACACCTCTTTCTCCTTCCCATTGCACCTTTCCCTCGCTCCGCAGCAAGGATTCCTCTGTATTCATTCAGTCGATCTCTCCCTGCTCGCGGTTGGGTGTGTGAAAGGGCAGAGGGTTTTCCTATCTGTTCAGAAAACCTTCATTTCTCGCTGACGATGATTAAGAAAAATTATCAAACGTCCCGCGCTAGAATGACTATAGCTATAATGGTTTTTTTTTATCCTGAAGATACCCCACGTAAAACACAATATTCTCTTTTTTGTATAATGTAATGTATATTTCATCTCAACAAACAATATACGTAGTGAAATCACTACTCAAGCTCACACTATTAAAATTTATTTATTTTAATATAAAAATTTTATATAATATAATTAATATATAATGTAATGTAGTAATATAATTTTTTTAAATGAAAATTAGCTCTTAGGCTAAAGACAAAGTACGAAATAAATTATTTACGTGCGCGAAAATAACTTATTTCAATTCAACGCGTGCATGCAGGATATGCAAAACGCATATAATCGCAAAACGCCGGCACGCGCAAACATGCACAATATTACGCCCGAACATTAAATCCCCAGTGCGACTTTCTCGCCGACTTTCTGACGATTTTGTATTCCGTAGATTCACCCTCGATTTCCTCGTCGTAAGACTACCGCGTCAAAAAACCGCGTATTCTGAATCGTCCGACATTTTCACTTGGAAAGAACCGTCGAGAATGCTGTCTTGACTTACAATAGCATATCGAGTAAATCCATATTACATTTCAATTTTGTTGCATTAATAATTGGCATCAATTGACAATCAATAAGTTAACAAACGTAAGTTTAAAAATAATATTAAAAATAGTATACAGATATAATAAAAAATAAATATCAAGGAATTGATTTCATAAAAGAAACTGACACAATAATATCAAGATCGGCCTTTTAGAACATCAAGTGTGCAAGATAAGATACCGAAATATGTGGCAAGGTCGAGAGATCTTCATGTATCTTAAATTTATCTTTACAACTGTGTGCCACAAATACATACATTATCTCATAAAATCTCACCTAATACACAAGCGAATGGCAGCGCAATTAAATCATAAACCTGTTCGCTATAAATGAAACTGAGAAAGTTGCATCGAATTACTCGAATCGGCAGGATGTATGCGATAATGGAGCACTTCTCGGTCGTCTTTCTTCTGTATCTCCTCTACTGCAGTCTGATCAGAGTTGTTGAGACTACTGTGACGCCCAACTGCACCATGTACTTGGAGTTCATCGAAGTGTACGACGGAACATGCAAGAATTATTATTTGTGCACGTACGATGGTGCAAAATTCATTCCTGTGCCACTGTCATGCACCAGCACTACCATATTCGATCCATCTGTAAACATGTGCATGCCCGAAAGTGAAGCTATATGCCAACAAACGACGACGATACCATCGACCACTGTAGCGCCTTGTTATCGATACGGTAGATTTCCGATAGCAGATATTTATTGTAAGAAGTACTACTTGTGTTACTGGGACGGCATTGCTTACGCCAAAATGGACAATCTCAGGTGTCCAAACACGCTGGTATTCTATCCATTATCGGAGAAATGCGTATCGCCACTAAAATACAAGTGCCCGGGGACTCTAGTTTAGAATAACTAAACTCGAAAACACGTAGACAGCACATATATCGGTAGTTATACAAAGATACCAATATAAAAAATGATTTATAAATAAATTGTTTGTTGAAGTAAAAATAAATCATTCTTAGCAAAAGTTGTCTTCTTGATGTAAAATGTATGTATTTATTAAACAACAAGCGATAAATCGAGTATGATCGAAAAAAATTTTTGAAATTTTTATACAAGTATTATATTGTTTAATAATATTTTATATAGAAAAACAGAAGAGATTCGGACACTAGTGAAATTATTTATAATTGGCAATCAAGCGGATTTCTAATGTAAAAATTAATATTACAAATCAACAGAAAAATAATAAATGGATCTTTGATTATCGTGCGCTTAACAATCATGTTTATGTCACCCGAGACATATTATTTTTAACTTAATGGAAACAATAAAAGCGCATAACAATTCCTCGTTAGTGTAATCTATTATAGGCGCGATTTGGTCGATGCAATTGCCCAAGCGTTATCCGATATTAATTATTTTCACGTTATCAACGCGCGAGCTGTAATTCGCACAATAATCAGCTACCTTAAAGATTATTAAACGTTGTAAATATTGATTTCTCTCTATTGTAACATAAATGCCGAATAGACTATTCAACTTATCATTGATAAAATAATTGTTGAAAATTATACCGATAAATATATAAAATAGTATATTCTTTTTGTCTGTCACAGCAGCATAATTATTTTACATATTACTAATTATATATATTTTTTTAAATCTTAAACACCTTTATATTTATTTGTAAATTCGTAAATACATTGTTAAAATTAAAAGCATATTTTTATAAACTTTTATCAGTTATATTTTAACAGACGTAAATTTAATACAATTTTCCTTATTAATTTATATATGAGAGAACAAAAGAGAGATTGAGATTATTAAGGTACAACGAAATTTACATACAATACAATTTCCTACCTCGCGACTTTATTAGAATTATCTTATGTGAGAATTATCTTATTAAATCTACCGAAACAGCAAAGTAAAACTTAGTCTTGCAAAACATCTTCAAGATAAGATTTTGTACAATATAAATTCGGTGAAACTTCTAAAGCTGCCGCCCATCGGTGCCTCCCTAATTCTTTCGTTCGACCAATGTCCGACTTCTTCCATAGCCGCTCTTCTTCTTCTCGAGTGAATCCTGTCATCTTTCGGATCCGCTATGACGCCTAACAGATCTGTGCTCGCCATATTGATCAAATTTTTTCTTGTCAATCGAGCGACTATATGTTGCAATCCGCGCGAGACATCTTCCTGTATTCCTGGCAAGGTCTGTCGCGCAACTTCCATCTTTATTTCATCACTGATGTTTTTCTTTATTCCATTTTCGTTTTTCGG